TGAAAAAACGTTGTGTGATCTGGGGACCATGACCCCTATTTGTAAACAATCGTATCTGTTTATAAGTAGTCACGTCTATTCGTAATTTCTATTTTAACCCATCATAAAAATAAAAATTATGATTGTCTCTACACATTAATGCCCACACTTTATAATATATTAATTAAGGTCGCAAAACTCAAATTAATCACTTTAATTAGCCTAACTTTATTTGATAGCCTATAATTCACATTTATTTAATATATAAGCCCATATATTTAATTTTACTCCAACAAAGTGCTCTTAGCTCAGTTCATAATGTGTTTGATATATCGTACTCTAGCATAATACTCTTTTGAATCTATAAATTTCTCACTTTTGTAATCATCATTTTGCTCTTTCAATAGCCAGACTTTTTGNTAGATTTGGAACAAAAAAAAAATAGAACAGAACAGTGACCATATTCTACATTGCCTCTTTAATTTTTTTTTTTAAAACGTATAAAATCAATTGTATGTCCAAAAATCATGAAATTTATATCGTTGGACTCATAATGAGATGTAGAATTTTTTTTTCTGTTGTAAAATATTTCCAGAATTATTAAACTTTTCGAAAAAAAATATTTTCGGCCTTAAAAAGAAATTTTTTTTCCTAGCTTATTCTCAACAATTCAACATGAAATGACTCTTATACCATATGTAAGATTAATTTCATTATGTGAAAACCATCACATAAACAGGAACATTCATATTGAATCATCAAGAATTAACATATTGAATTTGCGAAAGTGTACTCGAATCCATAACAAAAGATTGAAATATTCGAGTCTGAGGCTTTATGATTTTCTGGATTTACAAATTTTTTCTGTCTAAATTTCTATCTGATAATGGGAGTCAGAAGAATAGAAAAACTATTGTGTGATCTGGGGACCATGATTTCTATTTATAAACAATCGTGTCTGTTTATAAGCAGTCACGCTTGTTTGTAAACAATTGCGTCTGTTCGTATTTTCTATTTTAACCCATCATAAAAATAGAAATTACGCTTGTTTCTACACATTAATGCCCACACTTTATAATATATTAATTAAGGCCCCAAAACTTAAATTAATCACTTTAATTAGCCTAACTTTATTTGATAGCCTACAATTCACATTTATTTAATATATATAAGCCCATATATTTAATTTTTTTCCAACATTCCAATCTTGCTTGTGGTACAACCCATGACTAAATACTGGACTAAGAGTTGGATAAAAGGGTGTGCTACTAATCCAGGAGTACTAATGCCATATGGACTAAATTGCCGTTAATCTCATAATAATCCTATTATGACTATCAACTATTCATTCAACTAAAATCAATTGTTGGCAGGGATCGGAGGATACCAATTATGGAGGTTTTTTCACTTATGCGTATGTGTGCATTGTGCAATTATAATAGTTCTCATAAATAAGTCAAACTGCCAAGAAATAAAAAAAGAAATCAAATCTGGCCGTTGGATTCCAACAATCAAAAATCTGTTGATTGTATTCAAAGGTTAGGTATTTAAATCAATAAAATTTGGTGGGCCTAATTGATGTATGCCTTTGGCTGGGCTGGGCCAACTGGTTCGACCAAAGTGGAAAAAAAATGATCCATGACTCTACTTGGCGGCCTTTTGGGATGCTAGGTGTGGGTCGACCAAGCCAATAACTTGATGGGACATGGGGCTCTCGTGCCTATTTGTAAGTTGTGGGATTTTTGCCGAGACTTTTTTTACTTGGCCTGTTTAAACGAGTGGGGTTAATGTATTTGTGGGTCGAAATAGGAATTTATAACCCAAATAGAGTTGAGTTGTACAAAAATACCACCTCCCACTAGTGTTAAAATTTATGTAATTGTACGACATACGATTTCCACAAAGAAATACAAAATGTTTTTTGGCCTCCTTATATAGTCTAAGTCTGGTTAAGAGTTTTACTCCATTTTGCCTCTTTATTCTCCTTTATTGTAAGATATACCAAACAATCCCTTTGCGTATGATATATATTATGTTGCAATTTGGTTATCTTTGTGGTCATTGATCAAATGGAAAGATATATTCGTAATTTGGGTTGTATAACACAATATGCGTTTTCCATATATTATGTTTACCATTTTCTCGAGGTTATTGTCGTATATATGTGGAAACTTAAAATCATGTAATTGCTTGTTGCTTGTAACTCAAAAATTTGGGATATACTAGCAAGAACCATCACAATGCAGGGGCAAATGATTATATGTATCCTAATGCAGCAAGTAAATTCTTTATAAAGTCAAATGATGTCTGAGTGTAAAAAGAGCTTGTATCATACATGGAATAATTAACATCATTCAAGGTTGTTCATATGCTTAAGGGGCCTCTCAACTCATTGTCATTTAGTTTTGCATTAGATTATCTAATATGGTGCCAAAGTTGGGTTTTTGGTAGTTAGTGGATCAAGTCTGTATGCATGTTTTTTTGTTTGTTAGCACCATTTGCTAGCCGAGGCGATGGTGTAAAGCGAGCTTATATCCCACATTGAATAATTAGCATTACCAAATATTGATATATATGCTTAAGGGGCTCTCCTTGCATTGTTAATTGTTTTTGCGTTGGATGCTCTAACAATGAGATACATTCATATGTTATTAGACCATCTAGTGTGGTGATAAAGATATAAAAAAATCAACTCAAAAAGGACAAATAGTGATTTATGTTATCTACTTATCAAGGATGGAATTAAAATTTATCTACTAAAAGGACTCCCACAGCGGCATCCATCAATGTCCAAATGACATTGTCTCTCATGCCAAGTAAAATATTCTTAGCAATTAGTTATTATCCTCATTGGTGGACACATTTAAAACTATTGCACCCTATTACCCTTTTCTTTCTCCCAAATAGTGCACTTTTGAACAAGAATAAATATGGACTTTTTGAAAACAAAAACATGAATCAAGCCTTATTTCATTGTGTGCCCATTTATAATTTGCTCGTAATGTCAATTCATGCAAGCTGCATGCATTATACAATTAAAAATTGGAAGAGTAAACATATTGCATGATTGCATCTAATAATCAATCAAATAAACATCAAAACATGGTTCAAAGTATCGGCTGAGTCGTATACGTCTTAGCCACTGCTGATATGATACTGATACACTTTACGAAAAAACGCGGTTTTCATGTGAATCGGTTCCGAATTGGTATGACTTGGCCCAACTCGGTATCATCTCATTCGAGTCGGTTGATTCACATCCGAGTCATACCGATTCGCACAAAATTGTACAACCACACCCAAGACAACAGAGAAAATGCCTGGAAAAAGGGGCAAAAGAGATGAAGAAGAAGACCAAGAAACAAATTGGTAAAGAAAGAAAGCCAAATCAAACAGTTTTTGCAAAAATTAGCGGCACAAACCTATAATTCCCCGAATAATAGCCTTTATCCCAAAGCTCCCCTCCTTCCTCCTCCTCCTCTTCTTCTTCTTCTTCTTCTTATTCACAGTAGCAAAGAAGTGTCATAGAAACCCTTGACCTAGGTAGTGAAGCATCGACGATATTTGGGGGAAGCAAAGATTCAATTTGATCTCTAGAGCCTAGATTGCTTTGTCCCTCAGGCTCCAGTTCTCTCTCTCTCTTTGTTTGTCTGATTGTCTCCCCCTCCCAGGTTTCTCTCTCTCTATCTCTCTCTCTTAAGTCTCAAAATGAAACCCAATTTATCCAATCTTTTAAGTTTTGTTTTATATGTGTTGTGAAAGATTTAATAATTTTACATACATAATGGACAATATATTTTAGTAATTAGAATATTAGATCTACATTAAATAGACAAAATGTTTTTGTGTTTTTCATAAATTTTTTAAAATTTAAACTATAAATTAGATATTTATATTCACATTAATATGATATTTATATTTAGTAGTATTGGGATCTAAAGTAAATAGGTTCTAAGGTAAATATCAAATTTACAATTTATAGATACATATTTTTTTTTGTTGTTGTTATTTTTATTTTAAACCCCATACTAATAATTATAGTATGACTCAATTTGGTTTTAAATGTTTAAATTGAACATATATGATAATAAATACTTTCGGTAGTGCCCTTATAATTCTATTTTACTATGTTTAATATGTTAAGCAATGCATTCTGTGGATATGATGCATGGATAATGATTTTTACATTTTTTAGATTTTTTTCAAATTTGTTTGGGCTTTTCTACCTAGCATTTTGAGCTTATTGGCAGACACCGTGCCGCGACTTATATGGTTTAGTACCCTCCGAGACAATGACCGATACCGCGATCTTGAACCATGCATCAAAATTGATTAATGACCTTGAACCATGCATCAAAATTGATTGATGATGGAACAATATGTTATCCTTAACCTTGTGTTATTATTCCAATACACAAACATAGTACCAACAATATCTAAAGAACAGGAAAAAAATAGTCAATAGTTATTGTAAAGAATCTTGCATTTTATGTTCCATCATTTTAGTTGGATTGGTAACAAGCAAGTGGATTGACATGTTGGGCTGGTATCAGGTGTAATTTGGACCATCCTGGGTTTTGTCAAGTTTGCCCCTAACCCAACCTTAGCCTGTTTACATGGGGATGAGATTAGGCATGGTTTAGACTTGCCCAAACTCCACATCCTTTGCAGTTTTTTTTAGTCATTCATCCTCCTTTATCTTAAGTATTTCTTTCTTACAATGAATTTTTCATGGATGGAGTAAAATATATTTCCTCTCCCCATGATTTGAGTTAGTAACTGTTTACCTCTTATATTTTAGAAACTTATGCATAACCCCTTGGTGGTTAGAAGTAAATTGCATTAGGTACAAAGTTCACAGTTTTGTTAAAAGATAATATTACCCTTCACCTATTTATATTTTTAGAGTTTTTTTTTTCTTCTTCAAAATTTCAAATAAATTGAAAAATCTAATGACTTCTTTTTNTGAGTGACAAAGTCATAATTTCAGCAAATTGCATGCGTGAGAAATAAAAAACTTATCATTTAACTGAATTTACCGTTGATCTCGCAGTATATGAACCTCTGGCAAAAAATCCAGAAGGGTTGGTCTCTTCGGGCATCTCATATGTGTAAGGCTCTTGTTGAGGACCAAAGGTCCCAAGCATCTCTTTTGTGCTGTCCACTGAAATCGGACCAATTTTGAGGTAAAGAACTCTAATCTTCCAAATTTCACGAGTTAGGTCCCAACTAACATACCTTTGACACCGGTTTTCCATACAGTGTTGGTGTACTTAAAGCCGGAAACAATATTATTGTGGACTTGGAAAGAAAACCGCAAGCTGTAACAACTACCTTCTTTCAAAGTAAACCACAAGCCTTTGGGGTTTCCATCTTCAGGAATAGGAAGAACAATGTCAGGTCTACCAGGTGAGAGAATTGAAAGGCTCAGGATCTTTACCTCTGGTTCCACCATTTATGCAGTAAAAGAAGTTTAAAATCGAGGTTACGATGAGTTTCAACAGAAGAGGGGGATGAGGGATAAGACATATATAGTTGATTAAAGCTAATTAGGGATGAAGATTAGGATTAATTCTTTTTCCCCCCCCAACAAGGGTGTTTTTTTGGGGTTTTTTGTAGATAAATTCAAATGTTTTCCTGACAAATTTGGTCTGTCATCTAAAAATTTGTTGGTTTCTTAGACTATTCTCTGAAAATATTTTCGATTTCTTTTTAGGATTTTTAGAACAGCAAGAGGATGGCAACATTCCTGGTTGAAAACTTGCCTTCTATGACATGAAAAATCAATAAAAAAAACCCTGTTAAATATGCAAAAAGGGCTTTCGACTGAAACAATGGTTAATTAATCAAGAATGCAGTGATGGACCATGAAGGCATCTGAGATAATTCCCAGATGCTCAACAATATATCGAAATTAGTCAAGTCTTAAGCAAGCTTGACATCTAGGTTAGACAGATTCTGGAATTGACACTTAAATGCCCATATATCACACCATCACACAGTTGGTAACAATGCCCCCTCTAAATGGTTGTGGGTTCTTCTGTTCCTATTAATATAGTTGGATCACTTTTCAGGAAGAATCGAAACAAGTTATCTTATGGAAGGAGGAACGACGCCAAATCAATAGTTACCTTCACGTACTACCGAGACAGAGCTCGAATTATACAGAGGAAAGAAATACATGAATCAACATTCCTTAAAACCTTTAACAACCAGTACTAGGTCTGAGATGTTTTATCAAACAATTTTCATATGTTTTATCAAACATCACTCAAGTCTGACATGTTTTCCTATGTTACATAATTCTTCTTCGAGTAATTCTACGATACTTTAAAAAAAAAAGTATCATACAAAAAATTATTATTTTTTAAGGTCAAGTTATATTTTTTAAATATAAAATTACAATTGTTTGACATAACTTTATGATCAATCATGAAACGTCACGAATGTATGATCAGTTATAACTTTATTTTTAAAAAATATAACTCATTCTCAAAAAATTATAAATTTCAATAGGATACCGAATTAATACCATAATCTTCCTCTTATTCTCCTTCAAGGGGCCTCGGTACTTGATTATTGGTCTTACAACATCATTAATTTTTTTATAAAAACAGCCATTTTTTTTTTTGAACTAATGGTATAACATAGGTATTGATTAAATCCAACTATATTCAAGGGCTCTAATTCAAAACCTTGTCAATAGCAAAAAAAAAAAATTCAAAATCTTGTCTATTGTTCAGTCACTAAATCAATTTATGTGAGTATTGAAATCTTGACTACACAATTCTTATCATCACAAAGAAAATAAAATATGATAATAATCCAACATTGTTTTAGGATACCACAAGAATGCAATTGGGGCCTAAATTTTGTTAGTATGAAAGGTTACCTAGAATATTTGACCATCGTCTCAAAATAACACAAATTTAAAAGATAAGGAATGACAACATTCTAATGCGGATACTCTCTACCCTTTGCATTGACTTATTGTGATTTTCATTAAATAAAGACGATGAACTTTATTTTTTTAAAAGAAGCCGAGTATCTTCTAAACATAACGATCAAATTCTTCCCTTTTCATTTGAATTTGAATCCTGAGTTTGAATTTAGGTCCTCGTTTTCTTGGTAAAGCTCAAATTCAATGGAAAGACTGAAAATTTAAAAAAAAAAAAAAAGAAGAAGAAGAGAGAGGCTGTTTTTGGACGCAGAGTTCTTGTTAACAGGAGGACTAGACTCAACATTTTCCAGCGTCACTGATAGGGAACAGTTCCTCAGTTAGATATTATGGAAAAGTCTAATTTTTTTTTTTTTTATATTGTATCATCGGTTGTCATTTTTTATGATAAAGTTATAATTTTAAAAGAAGAAGTTATAACAACTCTATAGAAGACTATAATCGATCACAAACACTCATAATCGATCATGAATTCTCGGTATTCATCCTAACTTTCTATAATCAATGATGAATTTTAAAATTATAACTTACACTTTAAAAAATTATAATTTTTTTGACAGTAACGCATGTCTTTCCCTAAATATTATAGCTAGAAGCTTATGTGTCAAACATGTCCAAACACCATTCTTTGCAACAATATAATCTTTAGTCTCGATCTATGAAACACGGATACTTCATTGAAATTGATGTACCTATATCAGATACGATATTCGAAGATACTTGTCAGATACACCTTCTACGTATCCGATAATTATTAAATATTAAGATATTTCACGGATATTTTTGTGGTAGAACAACATATATAATTTTTTAGTTGAACTTTTAACATCTCTTTTCAAATTCACATACCATACAATATATTAACAAAAATTTCATATTACTTCAAAGGTACATAAATATTTTTTAAATATTATCTACAATTGCATGTCAAAAGACTATATAGTAAAGTTATTACATTATAATCTTAGCAAAAATTATTTCTAAATATTAACTTTGATTCATTTAATTAGTCACTTCACTTTGTGAATATACCACGACGACACAATATACATTTTCTTGAAACTAAAAAGAATTATTAATTTTCTTTATTATATGTTAAAGAACTATTAAAATGTATAAGTGTTGGGTTAGTTGAAAATAATAAAAATATTAAATATATTTTATTATAGTCATATCATGACCGTACCAGTATCCTATTTTTTTAAACTTTGTCGTATCACCGTATCCGTATTATATCATATTCATATCTTATATCCGTATCCATACCCGTATCCATGATTCATATGTCTCGGTCCATCTATTTCCAAATCATTGACCACATTTGGTCTTCACTTGGCAGGCCCGGTCCATTAGACCATAAAATACACAAAAAAAAAAATAGAAAAGAAAAAGAAAAATCAGTTAAATTGCTGGGCCCATTTGGGCTGACTCGATAGACAACCCATGGGCCAATTATGGGACAATTGATGTTACAAAACCATCTTTCTAGNCAAAAAAAAAAAAAAAAAAAAAACAGAAAAGAAAAAGAAAAATCAGTTAAATTGAAAATGGTGGGCCCATTTGGGCTGACTCGATAGACAACCCATGGGCCAATTATGGGACAATTGATGTTACAAAACCATCTTTCTAGAAAGTGTAACTGATCCCATTTGTTGGTAAATCAATTGTCCCATAATTGGCCCACGCACTGACACTATCAATTGACTGCCGAGTCTGAATCCTCAAATATGGGCGTTGTTTCTAAAAAACGATGCTGTTTTATACACAAAGTAATGTTGTTTCGATGTCATTTTACACTATCAACAATTTGGACCTAATTTATTGGTTGATTCAATCCATCGTAAATATTAAATTGGTTATAAGTTTCAATAAATATTAGTGTTCATTGTCAATTTAATAGTTGTTAATGATTAAATCAATAAATTAGATTAATAAATTAAATTCAAATAACATTGCTCTTGCTATTAAGATAAAACAAAACTAATGCTACGTGCACTAAATTTTTAGCACCAAATGATATGATAATATCACATGACGAGCCTAAAATCTAACTGCGTCTAGCTCAATAAAACCAAGTTTGGATCAACTAAAAGGCAGGTCAAGTCCAGTTAATCAATTTAACTCAGCTCAAGGTTCAAGGAGTCCATGAAGAAAAGAGCATGTGGGGAGAAACCATCGGGATACACACTCTCGAAAATCAAGACTATCTTAATTGTACTTACCTTTTGTAATTATCCTTTCGAGAAACTAGTGTCTTTACTCTCACGTCACGCCCCTCAACAAAGGCTCCATGCCTATAAAATTGTAAGTCCTCTCTACATGAGAGGATACATTGAGCTCTACCTCTACACCTCTCTACACACACATAGCTTCTCTCTCTCCTAATTATTGTATCTCTCCTGAAACTAGTCATTGCTCTCTCCCCCGTTCACATTACTTCGTTGTCGTTTCCTAGAGTGGAGTAGGTCACCCAGATCGAACTGCTATATATTTATATGTTGACTCAATATTTACATTAATGTTATTGATTACTTTTTAATTGTCCATTAATTATCCTCTATTACACATTTGACTGTTGATCTTACGCGAGACTATTTTATACATCATCATCACATTTAGTGACTGTATACATATGTCAATGGGACCCATGAATTCAACAAGGGCATGTGTTGGATGATTTGGGGGTAGAGAAATTGAATTAATTTTGCCAAACTCTCTCAAACTCAACTCTCACCTTTGTGTACATGAAATTTATGAACGAATCATATCTATACCTGTATCGGATTGTTTTACTTAATCTCACTCTTTTTAAACCCACCTAAACCGCTCAAAAAAAAAAAAAACCCACCTAAACCGATCAAACAAACAGTCACTTCGTGCTTAGATTTGGTGTGAATGACATTACTTGTAAAACAGTCCATGGGAAAATGTTGGGTGAGTAGGATGACAAGTGGAATCACATCACCGGCCGGCGAGCAAAAGTAAGTGCAAGGGGTCCACCCCCATGTGGCCTCCTCAGCACCGGCCAGCCCTAACGTGCCCTTTCAACTTTAAAGACTTTGGAATGACTTGTTTTTATTCATAGCCATACACAATTTAGGCTCATTTAGAAGTGGTAATCGTGTCATGTCATAGGTTTATGTTGAGCATTAATTAATTTATTTAATTAATCATATCGTGTCAACTTATCTGTTTATTTTATTGTTAGATTTATGTTTGTATTCGTGTTGATCTATATAAATCTCGAATTAATGTTAAAATTTAAGTATAAGATTCTATTATCAATTAATTGAATTTATTCTCATATTTTTTTTTAAGTTAAAAATTAATTTAATAAATATAACTGTAATAATGAATAAAAATATCTTTTTTTTGTACAACGATTATGTTATGTTAATACTTAATAAACAACAACAAATAATTAATATTTTATTTCTAAAACTTAGTTAAACGTGTAAATTTTATTTTGCTTGTGTTTGATACTAACCCAACTCATTTATTATTTGTGTTAATAGATCGTGTCATTTTCAGATTGATGTTAAAAAATAATCAATTTTAACCCTCTAATTATATATAGAGTTCAACTTATATTTTCGTGTTAGTGTTAAGAAACACCACCCATAGGTACATTAGCACAAATTCACAGGCTTTAAGACAAAAGGAATGAATGAAGGAAGGATGGACAGCAAATTTGATGAGTTGGAATGGCAGGAGCAGGAACATGAAGCCATGCATTTCGTGCACACTTTTCTGGTGGCATTCCATATGCTTGCCGAGTGGGCTACTGTCGTACGAAAATCTAAAATTATAACAGCTCAAAGGGAGTTTATGATGGGTATTGTGGCCTTCCTTTAAACAGTTTGAACTTTTCTTTTTAAAAGTGTAATTTCACCGTAAAAAATTATAACTTTAAGTGTGATGCTAAAAAAAAAAAAATTCATACCGTATACTTTTTTTCCCCCAGAAAATTGTAATTGATATGACACAATTTTTTTTTTGGTACTTTATACTTCGTTTGGTATAATAAAAAAAATAAAAAGATAAAGAGTTGGAAGGATAGAAAGTTGGAGGGACAAATAAAATATCATGTTTGGTAAAGAAGGAAAATAACAAGGATAGAAAAATGGATGGATTAACTTTTTTTTTAACTCACCAAAATCAATCCCTCTAAAATCAGAAGGAAAATGGATGAAAAAATAATTATTTGTGTTGAGATGTATCGTATTTGTCTATATATCTTTTGGTATATACATATATTATGTATTTATAAATTTCATATAAAAATACAATAATAAAATATGTATTTATATATATATATTAAAATAAATTAAAAAACTAAAAATTTAAATTAAAAAATTTAAATTAAAAAAATATTTTGTCCATCTTAATTAAGGGTAAAATTTTTTAACTCAACATGATGACATGACTTGAATTTGACACAAATTTTATGACACGAACTTAAAAATGACCTGACACGTGAATAAAAAATATAAAATGCTGAAATTTAGTTTAACCCTCAAACTCAAAATTGATACTATCAACCTATTTTATTTATTTTCTTATTTGTATAGTAACACAAAATTAAAACGAAACTAACATGTTTAACTAGTATTATAGATATAAAATGTTAATTATTTATAATTATTTATTAAGCACTAACATAATTATTATATAAAAAAATATTATTATTATTTATTATTATTATTATATTTATTTAAGTTAATTATTATATAAAACTCTAGTTATTATTCCGGATGATGATGGGACACACACTTTACACCGCCCAAGCCCTGACCACTTGATTGCACCCTCTTTTTCTTGACTAGATTTGCCTACTTCGGTGGTGGTTCTTCTTCGGAGGAGGTGGTTCTTCTGGAATTTTTTTAAAAAAAATCAATCATAAAATTTACTATATTTAATTTGGAAAATCTGTATTGTCGTTCGAAATTGAACCCCGTTTCAATCCGTGTTAAATTTGAATATTGAGTCCTATTTCAATTTGAATTTAATCCGAATTATCGAGTTCAAATTAAATCATGTTGAACATAAAATTTAACCCAAAATGTCTAATAAGGTTGAAATTCAACTTCATTTCAATCCGAGTTAAGTCTGAATATGGGGCCCAAAAATATGATGTTACTTCGTCATGTCGCATTCATGCCTAAGTGCACAAAGCACAGAAGCGCACACAACCAAAAGTTGATAGCCCACATGAAAATGTTTCCTTTATTTTTGAACTTCCAATGCAAAGATTAGGAACAAAAACATTAAAAATAGTAAAGCCTCATCTTGTGTCCATTCCATTGTTCAACATGATTATCAAACATGGTAATGACCTTAAAAATTCAGTGAGATCAGATATTAAATAAGATAAAATTCTTTACAGATAGTCATCATTCATCATCTGCCAAATCAGTAAAAGTGGGCTAAAAATAAAAATATAGATAGATTACTTTACGTATTCGTCAGAGAAGATTTCTCTTCAGCGTCACACACCTATGTATAGGGACTCCACTGCACCTAAATTAAGGCGGAAGCTAAGGTTTCATCGCGTCCTATGGGTGGTGAAAAGTAAATTTAATTCCTACGAATCACCAAAATTATGAAGACTTAAGCTCAAATTGGACTCATTAACAGATCCCATTTTTTTTTTGGTTCAGCTTTGCTGACTTGGCAACTGGTAAATGACTGTCTGTAAACTATCTGTAAACAGGTAATCTTATCTCATATTAAATTCTCCAGAATCTTCAAGTGGCCCCTGCCTCTCTCTCTCCTATCTGTATCTGTTTGATATTCAAGTTTGAGGCTCCTGCAGCTCTATATAAACCTTTCATATTCAACATCTTTCCACCTCAAACTAAAGCCTTTTGTTTGTTCTTCATTAGTCTTGGTTGGCTCCTGTTTATCTTCTTTGCTGTTAATATAAAGTACCTTCGTTTTGCAATGGCCACTGTTGAGGTAACTCAACTCCTACATAAAAAGATCCACCCTTGTTTTCTCTTTCCTAGTATATCATGGTATCATCTCTATAATCTATGTGCCTCCTATATATGCCTACCATCGCCCGCTGCCACTGTCACCCCCACCCCCACAATCCATCATCTTGGCTACCATCTCCAGCGCCACCACTTTGCATCACAGCACTTCAAATTATATCTTATATACATTCAACTTCTTTCATATAATATTTCATGCATGTCATCCGATACATTTCTGCAATACTCGGATTGATGTGTGTTAGACTATCAGTAGTCTCAGTATCCTCCAATTCAATAGTATATGTCAGTGACCTTGAAAATTGAACCATGCTTCATAAATCAAAACAGTTCTTAACATGATTGATATTTGTGTGGTACAGGTTGTGTCAGCAACACCAGTACTCTCGGAGGAAAAAACAGAGGAACCAAACAAGCCTCAGGAAACAACAACTGAAGAGGTAGTCATTGCACCACCGGCACCAAATGCTGCACCAGACGAGCCAAAGGCGACGAAGACTGTCCCCGTGTCAGACAATCCTCTGGTTGAAGCCCCAGATGCGGAAGTTGAGACTAGGGAGGTGGTAGAAGAGGCTAAGGTCAAGCCTGAAGAGCCAGTGGAGGAGAAGAAGACAGAAGATGTGGTTGCAAAGGTGGCACCAGAGCCAGTTGTTGAGAAGCCTGAAGAAACTACAGTGACCACTGATGCACAGCAACCACCAACGGCACCGAAGCCTGAACCAGAACCTGAAACTCCAAACGTTGAAGCTGTGAAGCCTGTTGAAGATGAAGAGAAAGCTGAACCAGAAACAGCACCAGCTGAGAAGCCTGAGGAATAAACCTATCGAAGTTTGGCATAGAGAAAATTCAAAGTTTGTGTAATTGGCGTTGGGGTGTTTTTTTTCATGTTAGGGTTTTTTTTTTTTGG